ACCAGACGAATACAACAGCTAATGATACTCAGATAAAGTTGGATTACGGTGAAACATAATCTCTGAGACGGTATCCTACATTCCCCAGACCAGGAAGAAAAAAGCCCTCTAAATCTGTTTGTTTCCAGAAACCCAGTTCCCTTACTTCCGCACATGCTCGCTTTTACACACATATATAAAATACAAATATGCACTTTCTTGGAGCGGTCTTTGTTGGAAAGGCAAAGAAAATTAGAAGGGGTTTTTTGTTCCCGCCTGGGAGAAGGATAGGATACGGCCCCTAGTGGTGCAATCCATAGGTCAAGTCTTCAGAAAGCAGGAAGTGCAGATGCGATTCCTGCCTAAGGCGAAGTGTTTCGCCCTTCACTCAGCAAAATCACACACTCGAGAGCCAGTCGATATTGAACTCTTTTTAGCGTCTCACTGGACAAGCCTGATATCAGTTTACCCAGCCCGGAGCTATGGGAAGTCTGGGCTACCTCAGCAAAAATTGATCCAGGACTCTTATCCCGGACCATAAGCGTGGAAAATGGCCCCCATTGCCACTACACCTCACTGCTCAGAATGTAAAGAACACGAAAATAGAACTTCGCCGGGGATAATTGGATTGTACTCGCAAAATTAGTCAACACAGGTGACCGGTGAGAAATCCCAACATACCTGTACGATAAGTCATGTCCGCGATGACAGTTGACTGCACAAACACTGCACACTCCCTTATTGTCAGTCATCTTACATGTGTGGCAATTGTACCAATGTTGATGTACAAACTCTAAAAATTAAGTGCTTCCAGCAGGATCTGAAATTGACCCCGACCAAAACAAAACCTTTTTCGGTTGCCGCGTATGTACAGAGTGGAATGCTGTTGGACCGAGTCTCATCCATTCGACGTTCCACAGTTGGAAGCGCAGTCGGACCTCCACGACGTGTTACGATGTTCTGAAGTTGTACAGACAAAAATCAAAATTACTTAAGAAATGTGTTTGAGACCGGTACCTTCAGTGTTTCCGAGTCGCTGAAGTATGTGTCGCTGTTATAGGGTTCCTTGTATTTACCAAGTTCCGAACAATACTCAAGCAAATTAGAGACAACCATAAGTCGAAATACAAGACGATTTCCGCTCTATAAAATACCGCAATTCATTTTCTCCAACGAATCGGTCCAATCATGTAAATAGCAAAGAACAAGAATACCGAATCCGTTGCTAAATTGAAGCAATTCTGACTAAAGGGCGTGGTTGGCTTTCCGTAGTTTGATTACTTTTCAAAAGTTCTGAGCAATCAAAATCTGCTGAGAACACGAACAACGCTATACATATCCGCACTCCTGGCTTTCCATTCCGAAAATGAGAAAGTGGTACTCCCATCAGACGAAACTCACCGTTAACAAGGCCTGACCACGCATCACGTTTTCCTCTTCCGTTGAAACTTCAATCCATGATGCCAGATTGTCAGCACACTGGCGGAGGACCTAAAGATCATTTCTCTATTATAAGAAACTACAGAGGAGAATAAGAAATGCAAGGATCAAGAAAAGGGCAGAAATAAAATGGAAGGAGGGCAAAACTAACCTCGATATGAGTTTCAGAATCAGCATGATTACAAATGACCATTAAAACTTCATGAAAGACGTCTTCTCGACGTTTCAGGGGCACAAGACTCGACAGACGGTTGCGACCATCCGTGGCTTAAAAAGTGCTCCATCAAAAGCATGTTAAAGGAGACCTCCAAACAAATACTTACCTAGCCTCCCCGCCCAAGTTAAGGCTGTTTGCGCTAGACGATCCGTGGATTGCACAGTGATAGCAAAGAAATCATGCAGATCTTCAACCAAGCGACGGTCGGAGTATTGCTCCCACACTATCTCGCATTGCACAATGCATAACTTCCGCATCAACCTGAGAAAAGCAAGTAACAGCTCTGAGGACAAACCCAAGAAAATGAAAAAAAAACATTCTGGATAATTGTGGAATAAACACTTACATGTTCTTTTAAATCTTGTAGGATGGGAGCAAAGCTTAAAATTAGGGCACTGGGAGCATGAGAGCATCGAAGCCATGACGGTAAAAAGAGGAGACGACCTGCTAGCAGACAACGTAGCTGCTTCGACAGTTCCGATGACGAATCTTAAACATATTTTTTGTCATATAATTCTAAACAAAATATCTTTATCCACCATACAATTTTTCAGTTTAGTGGCAGGCCCTCAATGTGCTTTCACAGTCAATAAATAGTTAGTTGATCGGTGAGAACATTGGACAACAGACATAGGGACTAGCGGGAAATTTCTGCAAGTTTCCGAAGATTATTTCCTGGTTTTCCTAGTTTCTGAAACTACCATTTCCAGGAACAGGTGAAAATAGGGCTTTTGACCAAACTTCTTAGTTTCATATAAACCATCAGTTAAGAAAAATACACACCTTTATGAAGCACATTCGACAACACCTGTATAAACGCTGGAGTCAAAGCCGTTTGCTCCGGAACAGACTCCCCTGAAGCGCATTTATCTAGTGTATCACCCAACAGTAACAAGATGATCCTGAACCAAGTGCCGTTATCTCATAACAAAGAACGTATGTGTTGAAGGGGGTTTGGCGTCTAACGAGGAAAGGTCACCAGGCCGGTCCGGCCATTTGCAATGAGGTGTATACCTATGCATTCGTCTTGAGACGATAAGCTAGAAACCGCTTTTCTTATCTGCTAAACGGTGCTCTGAACGGAGTTACGGAAGTTTTCCCCTCAACACTGTACTTAAACGCAGTATATGAGCGCTATCATTGGAGTCGCCACTATAAGCCAAGCGGGAAGGAGCACGTCGTGGTTGACGTGGCGTAAGTGGTAACGCTCCAGGCTTGTAGGCGAGAGGTCATGGGATCGGTCTCTCGTGGTGTTTGTTGTTTTGCCTTTTTGAAAACATGACCAGAAAGGCTTTTAGCGACAGTATCTCCTCAATTGCTGCCTTTACCTGCCTGTGTAAGGAGTTTAGGGAGCATCTCTGTTTGGAAAAGCTATTTTCTTAACCCATTCGTGACAATGTCAGCCACCGGTGGCTGACAAAGCTCTCACTCGGGACAATGGTATTACTGTGGCTGCAGGGCTTGAAATGGAATTTGGAAAGTTTTCTTCCATGGAAAGAATCTTCATACCCTCGCTCATCTACGCCAGCCCTGGGCAGAGGAAATCTCCCTTCACTCGGATTTTATTGAAGAAAAATCTCCTGACGCTGCTGCTATTGCGCAATCCTGCGCGGTCGCGAATGGGTTAAATTTAATAATTTGCCATGACTGAAAACGACGCTCATAGCCCACTGATAAGGTGTTTTTGCGGTAAACGAGTATGATATTCGTGTTCAGGAGACCGAATTTCCCTGGTTACAAGTTTCCAGCTGAATCTGAGATTTTGACCTACACTCGAGAAAGGGCAGTCAACATACAGTCAAACGAGAGAAGGTATGAATCGAAAACTAACTGGAAAAGCACCTTCCCTGAATTTTGATGCAGAGTCATGTACACTCTGTATCGGAGGACGGGAAGAAAATCGGCGGCACACAACACACCGTAAGTGACGGCGGCGATGAAAAAAATTGACAAGTTGACCACTGACGAGGACATCGATCGATCGCTGTTGTATTCTACTGATTATCAGATAATCAGTAGAATACAACAGCGATCGATCGATGTCCTCGTCAGTGGTCAATTGTCAATTTTTTTCATCGCCGCCGTCACTTACGGTGTGTTGTGTGCCGCCGATTTTCTTCCCGTCCTCCGATACAGAGTGTATGTTCCCTTTATTGTGTGGGATTCAATGTAGATGCGCACTGTACGAATTTCGGATTTCAAAATGCTGGTAGTTTGTGAAGGGCTCAGGATTTCCATTGCCTAAGAGTTTCAGACGATAGGTTGGTGATTTGATTTTATGTAGGTTTGGACTCACCCTCATTTTTTAGGGTTGGGTCAAAATCTCAGATTCGGTAGGAAACTTATCTCCAAGGGTAGTTTGATCTCCTGAACACGAATATCACGCCTGTTTGCCGCGAAAAAGCCTGACACGTGCATTACGGGCACCATGTTCATACATGGACGACTACTGCCCAAACCTGCAAGGAACTGCTCGAAATTTTTTCGTACAGGGAACTAACGGCAAAGTTGATAAATTAAGAAGTTAGAAGCTTTCTGGCTACATCTTCACGAAGCACAAAAGAAACAGACTCTCCGAGGAGCCGTTCCCACGACCTCTTGCTCGCGAGTTCGGGGCACTGCCACTGCGCTTCCTTTTGCTTACGTTCAGGAATCGTTTAGCAGATAAGGAAGGCAGTTCTGAGCTCAGCGCCTTCTCGATCGACGTGTTCTAACGGTATACGACTCCATTTGCATTATGGCCGTGATTCTTGCTGCCGGTGTGGACTCCTCCCTAGTTGGAGCTACAACCGTGTTTACTTCATATACCTTTAACTGCTTGGAAGGATCGAACTTTTCATGTGGCATTTAAAACTGCTTCATAGAAAAAGCAGAAGAGGTACCTGAGTTGAGAGGTCTGAAAAAGTTAGCGGTGCGAAGTGAAATGCCCAATATACCACAATGGGGAAGTTCTCACTTCTTCTCAAAACTCTGAACTGGTTGAGCACTTGTAGCTCCAGCGAGAAGTGTTTCTGACAGGTAACAAAAGCGTACTTCCGCTGCGTTGTCTGCTCCAAGCTGTAGAATTAAAATGGAACAGATGCTTATAAGAAGCGGATAAATTAAAAGAAGAAGTTCATAAGCCATGAAATTCTACACCTCATAACGTATGTAATTCTTGAAATAAAGTCAAGCATAGGTGAAAATAACCTTGTTCAGCTCCTGTTCAGCACGTTCTGCTATCTCGCGATGATACTGCCCCACTGCTGGGACGGCGTCACGCTACCACCCATTGACTTGCACTGCTTTATCGCATCGCCTTTTGCGCGGCCTTGAAAAGAAGCTGTTCATTTCTATTCCAAGAAAGCATTCCGACTGTGTCATTTTTAGAATACCGAAGTAAAACTTCGCTATTTATGCAGCGAAAAAGTACCAAAAAAAAAGCAGATGTGAAGACAATGGTAAATCGACCGCGGACGTCAAGAAATTTTACATGTCTCTACGCTCCCTTTTAACGTCTAGAAAGTGTAGGTGCTAAAAAAGCGTTTTTTCTCACCGTGGGTGTAAAAATCATGCCTAGCACACGACAACGACTTGCTGCTAGAAAACGACGTCCTCAGAATATTTGAATCCGCTATCAAATAGCAATCATAAACCTACTGTACAATAGCGACAGACTACCTTAAACTCGTCCTCAGACTCTCCCTTACTTGATACGGGAGATTAATATTGGCTAAAATGTAAAATTGAAATTAACGAACCTGTTTTTCCATTTCTCCTGTACTTCGTGTAATAAAAGTGTGGATATTTCGTAACGAAGATGCTGGTGTAAAAGGTACTCATCCACATTATTGCCAGGCTCGCCAAAGCAGTCATCTTCCCCCTTAAAAGAGAAGAGTCTCATTCAGTTAAGGAAGTACTTCCAATGCGATGTGTGAAGATAGCACTGCTCTCCATAAGTAAGAAGCTTGCATTCTTCACTTATTTTTCTTTTCATTCATCTGAGCTGCGTGAGTTCACAAAATAAGTGGGGCCACACCTTCAGAAATGTTGCAAGGTCGCTTTTTCCTTGGCGTGCGGGTGATTGGTCTCAGCGGATCAAATTTCGTAAAGCACATCTCCATTTGAGGCTTGACGACACTGCTCCTCAAAACATGGCACCAACATCGCAGAAGCGTAGTATTCGCGTTTTTTAAGATCGACAGCATACAGTGCAAACGATCAATGCCTCCCGTGGCTTCCAATCCAATGCACGCATCTTTCCTGAAAGCTCCAAATTATAAAAAAAATGTATAGGGTGTCAATTGACGCTTTCTTGTATGTTAATCGAGGTTACTGAAAGAAAGCCTCATTGGATGGCTCCACTTCTAAAGGTTTTATATTCATCAGAGGCCGGAGATTTCATCGCTGTTACGGCGCATCACAGGGGCTTGATCAATTTCATATGAGAAACAAGTGATCAATTTCACTAGTGAGAACGATTCACTCTTTTCTTACAGAATGGAAACACAACATAGGCAAATGCGTCGCAATCGCGAAACATTCGACCGAAGAAGACAAAAAGGTCGAAACGTGAAGTCATTCAATGGAAATTCTATTTAACGATATTGATGGGCATAAATGAGAACACATTCCGATTAACACTGCAGAAATCTTGACGGAATCGTCTACGGAAAAATCATGATTATATTCATTTCGTCCACAAATCATAGCTTGAGACCTGGGAGCTCACGAAAAGAACGAAAAAAAAACAAAGAAAAACCGGGTTTGTTTTCGTAAACAATTCGAAAATCTTCAAAGACTGTTACGCGTTCAAAGTCTCACTGTACATCTGTCACAATTGTTAGCGACGGGAACGATTCCACTTAGTTCTCGGAGTGCTTTCAGTCTGAGCTCTTTTGCGTTTTTCACCTACGGGCAATGGCATATTTCTCTTCCTATAACTGCATTCTTTATCGATTGTTTTCTATCTGTTTCTTTCAAATCACGCGTTCTAACACTGTTCCAAGCCAACACGCTGTCATTGTCAACTCTCATGCCTGTCAACGGCCGCCGCCTCCTTACGTGCGCCGCTCTTCCCCCGCCCTCTTCCACCAAACTACTCGACCGTTCTTGGTAAGGATTGCTTCAGATATTGCCTTCTCTTCAGGAAACTCGATTATTCAAACGTGAACTTTTGTATCATCACTCTTAGTAAAACCAGCTGCCGTATTCATGTTAGGAAGGATGCAAGAGTTTCTCCGTAACGATCTTCTGGAAGAAGACTCAATGTAAACTTCTCAAGAACTACATCTTGCGTGGACGCGATGCTATGCAGAAGATTGGTGAAACTTTCAAATAAAGCTGCCCCGAGTCGATTACCAGTGGATCTCGATTACAAGCACGGTAAGGACGAAGCTCTGGACGTAAATCTGCCAACATCCCTAGAAAGTGGTGCTACTAAACGATGCCCTTTCCGCGATTCTGAAGAAGTCTTACGTCATTTAGAGTCTCAGCGAACAGTTTCACAGCACGATCAGCTAATTTGGATACACTATCTGGATGTACGAATTGCTTGACGATTGCCTCCATACCAGGATAGTGGTTATTGAAGTTCTGAAAGCCGCATCCAAAGAGAATAAGTACATCACATCATAAAATTTGAGAAGCAAGAAATTTGATGGAATACCTGCACATCACGTTGCCCTTGGTCAGAGATCAAGCGAGGAAGATGGCGAATAACAAAAAGAAGTACTGGCAGATCAAGAGATTCCGCAGCGCCAAGAAAGTGCTCAGAAATGAGCAGAGAATATGTGCCACATAGGAACGACTGAGATGGGTGGCGAAGAGAGAATTCAGCAAAAGAGTTGATAATTTTCGACCATTCACTCTCAATTCGGCCTAACATCTTGAGATCGAGGGTCCATGGACATTCTGAATATACAGATTTTGGAACATCGCCTATTTGAGAGATTATGCTTTAAAGGTGACAAGATAAGGATTTCAAAAAAGCTTCAGTATCCGCTATTCCGACTCAAGAGTAATGATTCCAGAGACTTGAGAGTTGTGGGTTTCGACCGATTTTTCAAAAAGTCGACAGAATTATGTACCCCATCAAAACAAAAAGTGAGTTTATCGAGGGTGACCAACAATCTCTCACAACCTTCATGAAACTGTTGAAAAAAATAACATCAGTCATAAGAAAAACCGGCACGTTCAGAATACGCCCTAGAAACTGTTTTTGAGACGTTATTTGAACACATATTACCCACCTTGGTTTCTGTGAACAAGAGTCAGCAAGAGCGATGTGACGCCATCGACCAAGATAACACTTGAATTTTCACTGAAAATGGGGCACACACATACTTCAGCACCTAAATTGCATTGGAAAAGTGGCTTACTCTGCGATAATCCTTTCTATAAGTCCTAATGTCTGTCTGGCGAAGTCCGTGGCGTGCGCTTTCTTCAGGGAGTGAGAAAACTCTTCCAGTATTGTGCACTCTTCCCTGCATAGTCTAAACAAAAAGTCATATACAATACTTCAAATATTAACACGTTATCAGCCAAATTCCCTGTGAGAAAATATACCTTTCCGAGATTTTTGACCCCACTGCCTGCTCGTAACGTTCGAGGCTGTGTTTGAAGATTTCAGCGACCAGCTGAGGCCGATTACTACGACCACCAGATATGATCGTTCGCAATAGAAGCGTTTTTTGTTGGCCGCCTCTGCTGAGGATTTCATGAAGAAGTTTGGTCTTAAAAGGTCTGTTTTCCTTAAAACACTGAAAAACACCTAAAAATGTTCAGACTTTGGCGTCATACCTGGAGATCGGCTCCGATGAAACCGCCTTGGGAGAGAGTGATATATGTAGATTGGAATTCGCCAACTATCTCGTTGTTTGACAGGTTTTGAATCTGAAGGAGGAAGTATTAGGTTGGGAAAGAAAAGTTTCTGGAGACGGATTTTTTGAAAGCTCCGAACTTTTCGCTTTATTATGGTCGATACCTAGAAGTCTGATAGACTATCGTTGTCGATCATACTTCTCCGCAATAGGTATATATTGCCGGGTTGCCTTCTTTAACTTTAATAATGATGGTGATTCCACAAGAACACTTTCGAGCGATCATCTTCAATGAATCGCGCTGCGGCACAGGAGCAGTGGGAACCGTCAACATTATCAGCATCGCATTGGGAAGGGTCACCACTTCCATCATCAGTGCCAAGCTCTGGTTCGCAGGCTTCGAGGGAGGAGACACGGCTTTCAAAGAAAAGACAAGGTTGGGAAGCCCACAAAAGGTAGAAGACTCCACCGTTCTCGGCGCTGTCGAAGAGGATCCGGACGTTAGCACCCGCAGCCTTGTGATAAGACTCGGGTGCACCCATCCCACAGTCCTCGGTCCCCTTCACGACCTCGCCACAGGAAAGTGGTGACTCAATGGATTCCTCATGTCTTGACCGATAGCACGCGGTTCAGGCGGGTACCCATTTGTCAGTTTCTCCTTCTTTGCCCGCACCGAAAGGGGTTTTTGGAAGGCGTGATTACGAGAGATGAGAGTGGGGTCCTATACGATTCTAACAAGCACGGTGCCGTGTGGCTCCCTCCAAGAGAGGCCTGCCGACACAAGCAAAATCGGACCTGACCAAAAGCTGTCTATTTGGGGGGGGGGCGGTGGGGGAAGTTACGTCTGGGATTCGTGAGGAATGCTGTACTATGATATGCTCCCGTAAAGACATACCGCTACCGGCAGCATTTACGCCAGTCTGCTCTAGAAACTAGCGGACGCTGTTCAAGAAAAACGACCGAGACGAACTTCTGTCCACCTACTCCACGATGACGCCAGGCCCCACATAGCTAAAGAGACCCGTGCAGAATTGGAAGAGCTGATCTGGGACGCGGTTCCCCATCAACCCTATTCCCCTTACATTGCCTTCTCTGATTATCACTTACTCTATCCCCTTAAGGGATCCCTAGCGAAGAAAGAATTCACCAAAGGTAAAGAAGTTGGAAGAGCGGTCAGCGATTTCTTTGACTCTCAGTCTGCTCTGTTCTGGGAGAAGGAAGTCGCTGAACTGCACATTAGGTGGGACTCTGTAGTGGGTAGCAATGGTGATTATATTGTTGGGTAGATTCCATTCTACGTGGAATAAAAAAGCAAAGAACAAAAAAGTGTCAAACGGCTCAGGACTTTTTTCCACATAATATAAACGTATTCGCCAAAAAAGTCGCCTTTCTCACTTTTCACAAAGACAACGTCCGTAATATGTACTTTTAATGTTTCAGTCCTTTTATCTTCCACATTCTTTCTTGGAAGTTTAAAGCCTTGCAGACAAAAAAGTCCTTTTGATAGCTAGGCTGATCCTTTTCAAAAAAGGATCATTCGGGAAACACCTGAATGTAAACTTAGAATGATTTGCATAGGGCCGCGTGACGTAAGTTGGAGCGCGGAGCTGCCCACCGGCGTGGCGAAGGGCATACAGCAATTGATGGCATCAAAGGTAAAAGTAAAGGTCTGATTCGGGTCTAGAACGGCCAAGAGCGGGAAAACGGGCAAATGTGAGCAAAGCATGAATAGATATAGGAACGAACAACACGCGGAGGGTTTACCAACGCACAAATTCAGATGTCGGTATGCACAAGACAGAGAGCGAAAATATTAGGGATTGGTATACCGAAGGTGCGCAAAGCATGCCTGACGTGGGCGTATGGCGCCCACAACGGCAGGAGCGCCTTTAATCAGGTGGAATTTGCTACAAAGATTCAACATTCCTAGAAGATGTAAGAAGGGCAAGATCCACTTTATAGAGATATCAGATTATGGAGGCGAAGTAACCGATAGCGAAAAACTAAAGTTAGAAATCAATAAGGAAAAAAGATCCTTGATTGTATGATTACCGTAAAAGATGGATAGAACTGGTAAAGAAGGGGGAAAGCTCATGGTGGGTTAAGCCAAAATCTTCCTACGCCTCAATCCAAGAATGCAAGATGCATTTAAGCAAGCTTGAACGAGCTCCTACCGATATTTCACAAGCTCAGGAGCAACTGATGATCTATCTAAAGAAGAAACTCAAAAAGAACCTTTTCAACGACATCAGAGATGCAGTTATTGCATTTGGACATATCTCGGGCATTAGCGAGCAATCGAAGTAGGAACTCGATCCGTTTGGATATCTGGAATGCCAATTTCAGTCCTTTTCCGAGTAGGGACACTCAAGCAAGAAACTCGATGTTCCCTAAGCTGGTATGAAAGAGCGTCTGACTCCTACCTCCACTATTTCTGATACAATTTGTGACTGAACAGCAGATTGATGATCGAGCATAGCCGGGACCTGTTCAAGAATACACTCAAGCCAGTTCCCTGCCACCGTATCATCATTTGTTGCTGGAAATTAAAGCAAACGTCCAGGAAAATGGAATCTACCCAAAATTAAGCGCTTACGTTCTTCCGGAGAAGCAATCGGAACTGCCTTTGCAGTGGCCGTGACCTCTTTCGCACTCTGCTCTATTTGTTGCTCCAGCAATGTTAGCAATTCTCTGACTGCATTCCAGAGTGAAAAAGGTAGCTGACTCCCTTTTGCAGCGGTGAAATCAATCCATACCGACAGTCCTTCTAATGCTTTTACTAATCGCATTAACTGCGTAAGATTCTTTGAACTCTGAAATAAAGATTAAAATATGGCAGATCAATGAAAGCAATAAATCTAGAAGAAGCAGATCAGGAACAAGTAAAGAGGGAACCTTTAGCAATAACTTCGCAAAGCTGACAAATATGTGCTCGAACGTTTCGGAGTCGTTGGAAGAAAAGGGAACAGATGAACGAATGACACTCTCGACCAGAGAGCAGCCCAAGGGCAGATCCACTATAGGTAATGAATCCCCGTCAGCAGCCGATACTGCACTAAAGCATGACCACAAATAAGCACAAAATCAACAAACAACATCAGAAATAAGTCTAGCCAAACCTGTCTAAACATGCCAAGGCTCCTGCTATAAAAGGGATTGCAAGAGTGGAACTGGAAGGCCCAAGAGACACCCAGTCACTGTCTAGAATGTCAAACACGTGCACGGCATTGTTGAGGAGAATTTCATCCCTAAAAAAGGAAAAAATATAGAGAGCATTGCTACAGGTCTAGACTTGAGAAATGAGTGTGAACTTACGGAGAAAAACGCTTATTCGACAGAAGCTGCTCTACACAGAGGGATAGGCGATCTCGAGGCCATAGGAAATTTAGAATTCGACCAAGCAGTCCAGTACTTACAAACGAAGAGCGATTGCTGCGTAAAAGAAGACTCTAAAACTTATTTGATAGACAAATTTGCTGTTCTACAAAGAAAACAACAGAACATCGTTTAAGTGTTACCTCCGCCTTGTTGCTATCAGAAGCAGCTTTGAAAGCTGTTTCACGGGGATGCTTCCAAATATCTGACGGACAGTAGCGTTCAATGAACTCAGCAGGAAGGCAGCGGTTTTCAGTGAAACAGCTAACAATATCAGCCCATTCTTCCGGTCGGAAGGACTGAACAGCGATGGCAGAAAAACGCTCAATGAGTTGGCGACAAACTGATGCATGCTGAGCAGCGGTGCTCAATGAGCCTGAAAAAAAAAGACTCGAAACGGAGATGAAGCAGCTTTCACTTGGGAGACTATTTTAGGATAGGGGAAAGAGAAAAGCATTGAAGAGGACCTCCTCAATCTTGTGGGTATCAGAATAAACCTTCAGAGTCGCATATGACCGCGCGATGGCACGAACGATGCGTATGCGAATTGCAAAGGATGATCTAACCATAATGGCTTAACTTTTCGAACATCCAGCAAATCCAGCTTAAACTGTAATCTGAAAACTGTCACCAGTCATCCGAACTAAGGGCGCACGCATAGTCGGTCGGACGACAGCAACGATCGTAACTGTCGCACAGCATTGGATGCGTATCGATCGTCGGACTTGCCTGAGTATTCGACGATTAGATGCAGTTCAGTCAGACAGTTGCGATCGTTGCTGTCGGACGACCGACTATGCGTGCGCCCCTAAAATGTTTGCTTTCTACTCATACGCAACGATTCACTCCCAGTGTTTCCCTTTAC